AAGTTAATTTGATGGCTTATATCCATTAAACAACGTGGTATGAAAAGTTTGCCCGTTTTCGAAAGAACATTCAAAAATACTAAAGAAGCCAATATGCTAACGACTACACTTTTTATTGTATGCCTAAAAAACCAAAGCCGACACTTCAAACTCAGAATCGAAATGTAGGCTCATCGGGGTGGATAAAACTGCTTCATATATTCTTAGCACGAAAAAACAATTTTATTTGAAGATACATAGTAGGAAGGATTGCATGATAACAAAACAAATGATTGTTAAGTGAAACGGGGCTTGACATCAATGATAGTAGTCGTGAAGTAAATCGTGGATACGCGTATGCATAGAGCGTTAGAAATAGGCCTACTCAACCTTGTTTGGTTGCGCCAATGCAGAATCATGGGAGTTTAACCATTAGTCTGGTCTCACTAATGTAGCCCAGTCCAAAGTGGAAAGCACTAGCTTACCCATGCAGAGTGAGGCTCAGATTGTGATGTTGGCCTCGGTCAGGGGCGTAACCAGGATCAAAGGTTGGAGTGGGAGAGTGAGTTGGCGCCTAATTGAGCTGGACCGTTTCCTCCAGAAAATAGCTAAATGTACAGTCTGTATACAGTGCAACCGGTGCATGGTGATCAGTATGCTCCCATGGCTACATGAAATGTAACTCGTGTGATTCCACATGTAATTTCACGTTAATCAAAATGTAAATTACACCCATTCACATGTAACTCATTCACACGTTAATTGAAATGTAACTTGGAAACAAATTAGATTTAACTTGGGATATGTAACTTTAGTATTCTAAAATGTAAAAAGCCTTTATACAGATGGGACTCTCTTAAACACCTCATACTCTCTTATCAGTTCAAAAAGCTTCATTCCTCCCATCAACTGAGATGACCCGACACAAGAGCAGCCGCCTAAGCCCAAACACAATCTCCACCTCAAGAAAGATCCTGCATTCTTCTGCTTGGTGATGGAGGTGGCGAGCAACAAGTATATGGTAGCAGATCCCCGTCGGTGACGAGCTGCATTTTTCTAAATGGAGTGGTTCCGAAGTTGAAGATGAACTAAAAATAAAATAGTGCATATTACCGGAAATGATTTTCTTTTGCAAGAACCCAAAACAAAACTTGTCATATTTGCAGGGATAAAAACATATTTAAGTTTTTTTTATCAATATTTGCAATATTTTTTCATAAGCTTTAGCATTGATTTGGTATTGTACATTTGTACTGTACCGATTTGTACGGATTCGAAAAGACATAGTTCTAACCTTAGAATTAGACCATACCAAACCATTACAAAATTCACAGGTAGGTTATTATTTTTGTTAACAATTTTGCTACAGGTACCTCAATAGGTACCTCATCCATACCCCATATAAAAACTCAAATGAAGTGACAGACAACTACAAACCTAGTTTCAACAGTTCAAAATGAAGTGACAGACAACTCAAATGACTTGCCAGACAACTAATTTCACATGACAAACAACTACAAACCTAGTTTCAACAGTTCAAAATGAAGTGACAGACAACTCAAATGACTTGTCAGACAACTAATTTCACTTGACAGACAACTACAAACCTAGTTTCAACAGTTCAAAATGAAGTGACAGATTACTCAAATGACTTGCCATACAACTAATTTCACATGATAGACAACTACAAACCTAGTTTCAACAGTTCAAAATGAAGTGACAAACAATTTAAATGGCTTGCCAGACAACTAATTTCACATGACAGACAACTACAAACAAATTTTAAACAACTAAGCCATTACCAATTACTAAGAGAAATCAACCATATATGCACTTCAAGTAATACACCAGACAACAATATGCACAATTTAAAGTTGAAAACTATACTAGTAAACGATATATCTAGACAGACAATAGAGATGACTAGATAGACATTAGTTTTACACAGAGAGACAATAAGTTTACACATACAAACAATACGATACCCAAACAGACAAAAAATCAACACACATTACTAGATAATTATACATGCATGTAATGTTTGCAAAAACTTACACATGTTCAAAAAACCAATCCGATTGTTCAACATTGTACAACATTCGACACATTCTCCAAATGTAATATGTAATGTTTGTAAAAAAATACATGTTCAAAAAATCACAAGTTCAAAACCGATACATTTCCCCAAAACTCATTAGCAAATTCAAGTCTTTTGTTCGACATGTTGGTGTAGTCATAGTCAGTAAGCATTAACTTCCCCACTAGTAGCTACTCTGCAAATGATAGGACCATGATGTCACATTTTCAAGATCTGTAAACAGGCAAATAAAGCACAAACAAACATTTAGAACACTTAACACAAACAATACATATAATGCAAAAACAATGAGTTTAATACCCTACAAGTCTTCATAGTCATAAACTTTAAAATGACAGACAATTTCATGACTCATCCAAACTCTTCACAACAACATGACAGAGAAGTGATTACAGACAACTCATAACAAATACAAACAATTAAGAAGCAAATGACAGACAATTAAATACCAATTACAGACATCGATTTTGCAAATGATAGACAATTTCACGTGTCTTACAAACAAATACATACAACTCAAACGAAATACAAACATTTATGTGCAAACTACTTTAACACTTACTCAACTAAACTAATACAACATGCAGTAAAATACATATGTAAAATACCTTCATGTGAATATAGACAGACATTTGTTATATGTACACAAACATTTTAAGTTGTTTGTCCACACACACATTTTATGTAGGACTCTATCAACTAAGAAACCACATCTATTCTACATTCAGTTTATGCTAGACAGACGCTGCAATTTGAAGTTGTCTGTCAGACCAACAAAATAACAACAAATGAGGAAAAACGACATACTCTTCTTCAAGACTTCAAAGTCCACACCTTCATCTTCTTCTTACCTTGATGTCGCATTCACTTCAACAACAACAGGAGATGGAGGATTACCACCGTCACCCAGGTCATCAACATCGAATCTCAAATCTCCCTATGTCAAGTCATCCATATGAACCTCATCATTAAAGTAAGATATATTCTTGTCTATATCCATCGAACAAGAAGAAGAAACGAAGCAGATGAGATGATTTTGTGCACTGTAGCAGCTTCGAAGGAAGCTCCTTCTGTTTGGCGGAAAAGAAGCGGAAAAGAATAGAGTGGGTGGAGGAGAAAAGTGAGAGGAAGATATTTTTGTAAAGGGGGTAAAAAAAATATGGTAAAAAGGGGGAGTTTTATATGAGGTACAAATTGGGGTAAAGTTGGGGTAGCTATAACAAATTTCTTTTGTTAATTTACTGGACCGTTTTTGAAAACTACGCCATGTCCTACTATGTAGAATGCATTTTTGACACGGTAGTGCGGATTGGAATTTGGGAATTGTAAAGATGTATGGTTATGAGTTTTTTTATTTTTTATTTTTATATTTTAGTAGCTGTCTAATTTGTAATCAATTTTCCTAAGTTCCTAACAATAAATACTCTCTCCATTTGAAATAATACACTCCGTACTAGATACTTATTTCCATTTTGTGTTGTCCGTATTATTCCTTTTAGGCTTTTACTTAACTTTAAAGTTTTGTTAAATAGGAGCGTAGTTTAGAATTTAGATATCTTATCATATTACGTTTTCTTAATCTCAGTTCAAAAGTTTTCACTTTTAATTTCAGATTTAGGTAGTAACAAGGATGAGAGTTCTATTTTTCGAGCCTAAATTCGTAGTTGGGGAATACGGAGTAATATTATCTAAGCTTAACGCCTTAACTATCTACCCCTTTCATCCTAAAATGGTTTTCAAGGTTACTTTTTATTGATCAACAAAGTTTTATAGCCTAAATTTCTAAAATAGAAAATGGTGCCTAGGCTTAGCTTTCTATTTCCTCTTTCCTAAAATGATTTGTAATCTTATCTTCATCAAAAAAATTCATTTTATTCTCTTAGAGTCTGTTTGCAACAGCTACTACCTTAAAAAAAGTGTTTTTTTTGTAATTAAATGGGGAGAAATGATTATATAAAAGTTGGTAGTGTTTGAGAAAAAAATGATTTTGAAAAGAAAAAAAGTTGGTAGTGTTTGGTAAAATAAGTGTTTTTTGTGTAATAGAAAAAGTAAAAGCATTTTTGACACGAAAGCCGAGAAGCCCGAGAAAAATAAAAGTTGGTAGTGATTGGTAAAATAAGTGGTTTTTTAAGCATTTGCAAACAAACCCTTATTCTTAGTACCAATTTGTTGTGTACTCAAATTCTATTTTTCCCATTCAATTGTACTTTCGGTCTACTTTAAAATTTTAGTGGCCGTTTGGAGCCCCAAAAATAGGCTGATAAGTTTGAAAGAGTGAAAAAAATCACCAAATACAGGCTAAATGTGATGGTTGGGCTGATTTTCCTTATCAGCAAAAAAAATAACAATAGAGTCACTTTTTCAACGAAAACTTTTTAATTCATCGTTGCTTTCCGTAATGACTCATTTGCTCACTTTTATATACTTATCGACTTCTCCTCCTTCCTGACACGAAATCGACGTCTTCTCCTTCAAGATCAACGAGTTATTCATTTGCTCGGCTATGTAACCTCTCCTTCCAGATCAACGACTTCTCTTGCTTGTCTTCTCTATATATTCATCTAAAGGTAAGCTGTATTGCGCAAACCTGTGTCTGTCTCCTAAACCCTAGTTCTTCCGGGAATATATGGTGTTGGAACTAGTGTGCTTGTTCTATGGTGACTAATGACCATGTTGTTCCTCTCCTAGGGTGTTCATTGTTTGTTGGGTGGGAGGCGGAATTGGCCCTACACTTGTTTGTTGGGCAACTTTACAAGGGAGCTATGTCAACAATTATGCTAGGAGTCTATTGGCTCTGGTGCGACCTCAATTCTACATGAAGTGGAGGATTTTTTGCGGGAGCCATGAAAAAGTGCAATCTAATGATCTTAATTTGTTAGGAATTTGACTGGTGCAGAATGAAAGACTTTGGCATAATAGAGAAGGGGTGAACAACAAATGAAGGCTAATTGGATGGATTTACAGTAAGCTCCATTTTCTAGAAGTTACCTTTATGCTAATTTTATATCCAATCCATCATTTTAGCCAATATATTATCAAACATTTTCAATTCAACAAATTCAGTTTTTTCAACCTTTTCAGCCATTCCAGCCCTTGTAGTCATTACCAAACAGGCTCTTAATAATTGACACTACTTTAAATCCTAGCTGAAAAGCTTAATATATTATTGCAAGTCAACATTTGTTTTGAATAAAAATCGATTATATTGATATGAAGACAATCACGATCCTTACATTTGCCTCATAATAACCAAAAACCTTACACCCGAAAGTAGCACCCAACACCGAGCAAAAGTTATACAATCAGAGACGTAAAGACGATTATATGTGAAGGGTAGCAATCTGAATCGCTGATCATGCATGTATAGTGTATACGACCAGCCTTATGTTTTTCCAGGCGCAAAGGAGAATTTTTTCATGGGTTTCTTTATTATGCCTAATACGTGAAGTCATAATAAAGAGAGTAATTACTTTAAAGTGAAACTATATTAAATTAGTTGTATACATATTTAAAGAGCAATAGAATTATTCAATAGAAGAAGAAAAATCTAAAAATACACTATTGGACATTTTGAAGAAATATTTCATTACACTAAACACCTCTCTAACCAAGTAAAATTTGAAAATAATGAAATAAATAAAACTTTTCTTAAGAGCAACTCTTTAACAATTTTTTTTTACGTAATTTATTGATGTAATTTATTGACGTCGTGCACCTCTTTAACAAATTAATAAAAACACACTCAACTCTACAATTACACAACAAATCTTAGTAAAAAGGGATACCTAAAGTTAAAAGGAAAAATTGATACTAATAATCCCAACTATTGGCGGTCCGCTTATAATAATCCCAACTATTGATTATTACAGAATAATCCCAACTTTAGGGACCTTCCGCCAATAATGGTCCCTATGAATAAATTCTTGTAGTTTCTAAAGTGGATGAGATGAGATATAACAAGTAATCCCTATAAATAATCTCAACTTTTAATTTTTACGCTTAATTTCTATTTAAAATTTACTTTTTATAGAGGTAATATATGGTCATGGACCATTATTGGCGGATAGTCTATATAGCTGGGATTATACAAAAATTATCAATAGTTGGGATTATTTTCAGCGGACCAGCAATAGTTGGGATTATTATTTTCAATTTTTCCAAGTTAAAAATGAATACCAACAATTATATCTTGACCTGTGTGAGTTGTTCAGGCCTATATATTCAATTTTTTTAAATAGATTTTGTATCAACATATTTGCCTATATATTCAATTTTTTAAATAGATTTTGTATCAACATATTTGCCTATACTGGTCCAGTCTGATCTGGTAAACGTCTGGTCTCTGTGTATTTTATAACTACGGATGTCAGGTCTGATCTGGTCCGGTCTGTTTTAATCTGGTCTGAGATTGAAAACAGTCCAAAAGAAAACATGTAGTATACATAAATTATTAAAAAGTTGGGTGTAAAAGGGAAAAGATAATGATACGGAGCATAAACATTAATTATTGGGCTCAAAATGATTTCATAAATGTAGGCCCAGCGTTTCCCTCTTTCGCCCTTCCCTACTGCCGCCGCTGCAAAAACGTATAAATACGGTCAATGAAGCTATTCCCAATCAGGCAATCACTCTATCTATGGCGGACAAAGAAAAGAAAGCTCCATCAATGGCGGAGAGACTCCAGAGGGTGCGTTTCGAAAACCGAAAGGCAAGCATCCTGAAACAGGGCAGAGAGTTATCCACACTCTGCGGTGTGAAGCTCTGCCTTATGATCGTCTCCCCCGACGGGAAGGTGGAAACCTGGCCTCAGAATCGTGATGACGTCAAGGCCATTCTCGGCGCCGCCAATGCCGCGCCGTCCGTCAAAAAGGTCGCCGCCCTTTCCGATTCCACATCGTCTGATGATCAGCCAGCTGTGAAAGACAATAACCCAAGAAAGCGGAGAAAAGATCCCCTGCGCCAGATGGATGTTCCGAACAAGATGACAAAGACGGCTATGGCTACTACTGCTGATTCCACTAATTACAACGTTGTCGGGAGTGATCCTTGGAACAACGTTATTAACGGGTTTGGTTCGATTCCGATGTTCGATACCTGGAATCTAGAAGATGGCAGTTTCACCGCTGGGCTTAACGGCTATTTTGAGAAGAATCTGTATCCAGATCCTGGAGAATATTGTGGTCATGATCTGCAGTTTGAAGAAGACCCTTCTGTGTTCTTTACAGATTGTGGTAAAGATCTTGAGCTACAACAGCTGCAAAATCAATTTTGGGCTGGAGACGCTTTTGGCGGGAATGGTTTAAACTCTGGCGCCACAATGGCGTCGCCGCCGCTGCCTCAAGGTTTTGCCGGATGCATGTTCGAGCCGCTGCCGGCGCTGCAGCGGTGTGGGTCTATTGAACTTGAAAACACTCTGCTTCGTGATTTTTGTTGATTATTCTTTGAGATTCATTTATTCGGATTAACTCCAAACCAATTGGTTTGATGCTAACTTTAGATGATTATTATGATTGATGAAAAGATTGATTTGAACGATTGCATTACCAGTTTGATTGTAGAAACCCCCTGCTTATGTAAATTTGAACGATTGCATTACCAGTTTGATTGTTTTGATTGATTATTTTTAAGTATAGATTATCTTACAAATTAATTACTATACAAGCACTTATCATAATATCTCTGTTCTTCTATGACATTCTGACATTACACATTTGACTTGATAGTGTAATGCTTGACTATTATGTTGAAAACGATCCCCATAATCAGCAATTAAGTTGATTTTGATAGGCTAAATACATTAAATAGCCTGGTATGAAAAGTATGTCCGTTTTGGAAAGAACGTTCAAAAATACTAAACAAGCTAAGTTGATGCACTATTAACGGAGTGTTTACAAATGGTTTTGCTTTAAACAAAACATTTTTTGAAAACTTAGAAAAGTAAGAACCGAAATGTAGTGTCTGGTTGTATGCCTATAAAGTATAAACCCAAATTGACCCGGAAACTATCACTTCGAACTAAGAACCGAAATGTTGGCTCACGGAGTGGATAAACCCGGCTCATATGTTTTTTTTGAAAACGAGTTCATATATTTTTAACACGGAAAACAATCTTATTTAAAGATAGTAAGAAGGAATAGGATTGCATGAAAATAAAAGAAAGGACTATTAAGTGAAACAGATCGTAATGTAAGTGACTCAGTGGGAACGGTTGTGATTTAAGTCATGGATACAAATGCCTGGAGCGCTAGGAAATTGACTATTTAAGTGTAGAAACAGTGACCGAGCCGAACCGGAATAGGCCCACTCGACCTTGTTTGGTAGCGCCAATGCGGAATCATGGGAGTTTAACCATCCGCTTGGTCTCACCGATGTGGCTCGGTCCAGAGTAGAATGAGTTTGTCAATGGATCAGAGTCGGGCGCTGGGCCTAGGGGTGCAAACGAGTCAAGCCGCTCGTGAGCTGCTCGAACAAAACTCGACTATGGTTATTTAAATAAGAAAATAATTAAAAAAATAAATAATAAATAATTAATAATCTTACTAGTATATGATTGTATAGCAAAAATAAAGGGAATTAGACTTTGTACCCCATATTCAAAATCATTAATATTTGCACCCCATTAGCTCAAAATTGTGAAGGAGTGGGGTGCAAAGTCAAATGATTATATTGTGAAATAGGGTGCAAATATTAATGATTTTGAAAACGGGGTGCAAAATCCAATATTAACCAAAACATGAAGTGCAAAGTCAAATTCTCTCCAAAAATAAGGAGTAAAAATGTGAGTGAAAGAGAGAGACTAAAAAATGAGAAAAATTAAGTACAAATATAAGAGATTATGATCTCATATACGTTACAAAATACAATTTTAATAATTTGGAAAATATAAATTTTATTTGTAGCTCGAATTCGATCTTAAGTTTGAACATCTCATTCGAACTCAAACCTATAAAAATTAATTAGCAAAATTCGACCCGATCAAGCTCGAGTTGAACTCAAGTTTGAACTCGATTTATTTAGATAATCCAAGCTCGAGTTTGTTAATACTTATCAAGCTCAAGCTCAATCATACCAATGTTGGAGCTCGGATCGACTCATTTGCACCCCTAGCTGCGCCTCAATCCCCTTGTACATATGGCTTGGGTTCCTGTCTTGGATCGTCTTGTGCAAACCCTTTGAGAGTGAGGTGTATGACAATATGTACTCCATGAAGCATGGTCTTAGACTTTATGGTGTTTGATTTAACAACACTTTTTGTACTTTGTTTAGAATTTAGCCTCTCATCTGTGTGCGTGCATTGGCAGCACCGATGCATTTTTTGAACCTGTTGATGGGCCAAGTATTATAATTGGCTATTTTGGCATAGTTTAGATCAAATAAAAGCCTCCTTCCATCCTCACATTATGTGGGGGTGGGGTGGGGAGTTAGGAGATCTAGAATATGTGATGTATAATTTTTCTGGGTGTTAATATATACGGAGTATTTACATTTCATCCAAAAAAAACTAATTAATAGATTTTTTTTAAGTGTGATGAGTTAACGACTGGTACCGTCAAATACAATATTCAGACATAAATATTGGGAAATTAAGGTTGCCTGATTTGTTGTTCTCTTTTCTGTCAATAATCCAATGGTCCAATATAGAATGCCGTTGCTTTTTGGACCATCCGACATAGATCAGATAGTTCAGTTTTAAACTGAAAATGCTTCATCCGAAGTATATACGTACTCCGTATAATTGATGTATCCTAATTTTCAAGGACAGTGTCCATTTCAATTGTTTTTTCAATGTCTAGTATCTTTTTATCTTATTGGTTGGCCTAATTTCATTTGTTTTAATATTTTTTTTTATTGTTAAAAGAGTACTCCGTATTATTTGTGGAGTTTTTCCAAAAAAAAAACTAAAATAAATGTTATGAACAAAAATAGGATCACTTTAAAAAAATGAGACTAAAATACTACCTCGTACTAGTGACAACGACCAAAGGCACCAAAGACCGATCCGACCAATAGCCAACCCGACCAATGACCAACTCGGTGAGTGACCAACCCGAGCAGTGAACAACCCAACCAGTGACCACGACCACCGATGACGATTGTGACCAATGTCGGTGACAGTGACCATGATCACTGCCGGCAGTTACAGTGCCTTTGCCATTCATCCTAGGTTAGACCATCCACCCATTCCCTAGCCCCCAGCCACCCGTCACCACAGCCCCCTCTCCAGCCCCCTTTGTGTCACTGCCATCTTGCTCCTGTGGATTGTTATATTATTATATTATTTATCAATACTATGTATTGTTATACTTCAATCATGTGGATAGTATTATTCAATCATTATTAAGCATTATTTACAATATCATGTATTGTTGTATACTTGTATTAAGAATTATTTGTCACTACTATGTATTGTTGTATTAAGTATTTTTCTCATTCAATATGATGTATTGTTATACTCCCTCGGATTCTAAAACAATTTTTGGTTTTGACTTCACACATATTAAGAAAATAAATTTGACTTTACTGTGGAGTGCATTGTTTAGCACTGTTTGGACACTGTTTGACACTATTTTGATGTAGATAATTTGTCAAATAAGGAAATGTTTGATAATGGAACTTAATTTTGGTACTGCCCGAAAAGGAAAGGTGGAACTTCTTTTAGAATCAGAGAGAGTATTTAGTATTTATGAATATTTTAGATTCAATATTGAATGAGAAGAAACTTAATATATACGGAGTATAACAATACATAATATTCAATAATGATTCTAAATACTTCGTATTAGTATGAACTTACAACAGCACTTTGTTTGTGGCTTTGTGCTAAACTACTATAAACCTCCTCCATTCCGCTAAAATTGTTTCGTCATTCTTTTTCGGTCCGTCCCACAAAATTGTCTCATACCAAATTTAGTGATATTTGTGTGATTCTAAATCATTCTTACCTTATTTTTATTTTATCAATCCAATATCAATAATATAAATTCACTTTTTGAATAATCGATGTCAGTAGTTATACTGAATTAAGGGGAAACCTTATCATCTTAAATTATTTTCATAGTAATAATATTTTTAATAGTATTTAACGCTTTAGCAACTAAGAAGAATGAGAAGGTTTTGATGAGGTAATTACTCAACCTTAGATTGTTCTCCGATCCATACTGACATTTTCTAATCAAAATGCTCCTTAAATGGAAATATAAGGGGAGAATTCTCTAAATGGGAGTAAATAATCCCTTAATTGCTGAAATAGGACTATAATTTAAAAATTCCTTAAACAGGAGTTATTATTTGTAATTAGACAGAGATACCCTTCAAGCTAAGTAACATGCTGCCACAGACAGAATGTCACGCCCCAGACCGCAATCCAAGCGCGTGTACAACCGCCGTATAATTAAGTGACGTCACCCGCGAGTCAACCCCTCTTAATTACACAAGGCGTTCGAGAAAACAATCCATCCATACTCAGTAGTAAACATACATAACAACATCACATTTAAACCAATGAATAGCGGAAATATTCAATGGTAAGTCATAAGCCACAACCGGCCAACAACATGGGCATGCAAGCCCCAAAAATAGTTTATAGTAGAACAAATATCCATGAGCAAGTGTTCGGTAGTTTGAAAGAAAATAAGGAAGCACGAACCACGTCTTCCTGATTTGATATCACCCGTGAGAAGGTGCAAGTAGCAAGCCCTAGCTTCAACCTGAAAATGGTGGGGGCCCCCGAAGGGGTCAGTACAAGTACCGAGCGAGTAGCAGGCTAAATATAGAATAACTAGCGTTTCAAGTATAAGACCCAAACATAGGGTGATACTTATATAAATAGTCTTTCCCCCAAGTTATGAAATACTTAATAGTATATATATACTTGGAAAAATATCCGATCCGTAGATCACCAGTTTATTTGGGAAAAATAGTAATAGTCAATATTCTTGACTAAAAACCCCAACCCACCCATATGCCTATGAGTGTATAGAACTCCTCCTTGTTCAAGTAAATTATCATAAGGACACCGCCCGGTCCTAGATCATTATATGTAATCTATGAGTTTTGAGGATACACACCCGATCCTTGGGTACTCCACCCTATAACCGAGTTTTGAGGATAATCGCCCGATCCTTGGGTACTCCACCCTATATAACCGAGTTTTGAGGATAACCGCCCGATCCTTGGGTACTCCACCCTATATAACCGAGTTTTGAGGATAACCGCCCGATCCTTGGGTACTCCACCCTATATAACCGAGTTTTGAGGATAACCGCCCGATCCTTGGGTACTCCACCCTATATAACCGAGTTTTGAGGATAACCGCCCGATCCTTGGGTACTCCACCCTATATAACCGAGTTTTGAGGATAACCGCCCGATCCTTGGGTACTCCACCCTATATAACCGAGTTTTGAGGATAACCGCCCGATCCTTGGGTACTCCACCCTATATAACCGAGTTTTGAGGATAACCGCCCGATCCTTGGGTACTCCACCCGACCTATGACTTACCACATATCACACTAGATAGGGTCTATATCATATTTAGCCATTCATAACTAATTCAATACATAAAACTTATGTATCACATTCCATGCAAAGCCATGCAATTATGTAAATGTATAATTAATTAATATCAACCGATATTAATTAATCCATTAACCACCGGTCAACGTTGTCGTTGACCGCCATTTCAAACCTTGTACAAATCAACTTAATCGTCATATAATTAAGTTAAAATATTCATTTGTGCTTCTTATACACTTCAAGAAAATATGCATTTTATATAATTCTTCATATCATATTCTATGCATAAACAATCTATTTCTTTCATACAAATTTAACCCTATTGGCTAATCACATGTTTAAATATCTTTTAAACATCATTATGAATTCATATAACATTTATTTAGGTAATCTTATAATTAACCCAAAAGTTATAAGATATTAAGCCGTCCACTCACCTTGAACTAGCGTATGAAGTTCTACCCTTCTTGGTTGAACTCCGGTGAAACTCCGGTGACTTTTGGTCAACTCCGGCGACAACTCCGGCGACTTTTCCAACTTTGTGAAACCACTTGAAATACCCTTTACAAGTGCCTAACAAGGTTTTAAAATCATAAAACCCATATTAATACAAATAACCTCTAAAAGGTCATTTTCCGGTGAACCGGTCGTTTTGGCATCTAAGTCCGTTCTTGGACTTAGAACCATCTTCCAACCCATTAATCCATACTTATAACATGTAGAACCCTCTTAAGGATTCTTCACATGATATGTATCTCATGTGGTAGAAGAAAAAAATAAGGAAGAAGTTATAATAAGGTCATTACCTTAATTATTTCACACTTTTAGCACTTTAGCTCCTTTTTGGGTGATTCTTCCTTGATGAGCTTTCTTCAACAATGGAGGAAAGAAGAATGGAGAGTCTCCTCTCTCTTGTTGCTGTAGCTTGGCCGAAAATGAGGAGGGGAGAGGGATGAGGATGGACTTTGTCTCATTAATCCAATGAGTGCAAAAATGAGGGTCCACCTTAGGTACTTTGATGCCTTTCCAATCAATTCCCAATACCTCCCACCTTCCTACACTCATTCCAGCGGCCCAACCCTTGTCTTGAGTGTCTAATTTCGTGGGTTGGCCCCCACCTATGTGGGAGGTCACCCCTTTTTGCCCAGAAGTGTACAATCGGCCCCGAAAGTTGTATTTTTCGGACTGTTTTAAATATATTTTATTTTATCGGGTCAAATAAAATATATTATGTGCTCTTACTCATTATGACATGTATAATGAATATACATTCCCCAACATTAATTTATTAAGCCTCCGAAATTCAGTTCGGGCTGTTATCAGTTAAATCACCAGTACCGGTAATTTGGGCTTCTTTTGACTAATCGGTCAACTCTGGGCCTTTCCATGGTCCAAATGAAATATCCACCACTATATATTTATTATCTAGACCAAGATGAATAAAATATATGGTTTCGGGGATGTCGAGCGGCCCCCGCTCCCGGTGTGGGTCCCACGTGCAAATTTAATATTCACGCGAACGAAATAATAAAAATTTACAACTTCGTAAATTCGTAAATCCTTTAATAAGGTTCAATACATTATTTACATAAAAGTAAATATATTTGGGGACGGTGTTACAAGTTCACCCCCCCTTATTTGGGATTTCGTCCCCGAAATCCAAGTATCTAATCGAAAAGAGATGGGTATTGCTCCCTCATTGAGACTTCAGTCTCCCATGTCTCTTCTTCGACCCGATCACTTCTCCACAGAACCTTTACCATAGGAATTTCCTTGTTCCTAAGCTTCTTCACTTGTTGACCTACTATCTTCACCGGCTCTACCGCATATTGCAAATCCTCACGGATCTCTACCGGTGGTTTCTCAAGAATATGAGATGGGTCTCGTATGTACTTCTTGAGCATCGATACATGAAACACGTCATGTATCTTCTCAAGTTCAGGCGTCAACTTGAGTCGGTAAGCCACGGCCCCGATCCTTTCAAGGATCTCAAACGGACCTATGTATCGGGGGTTAAGCTCCCCCCTCGATACGAATCGGATGATGCCCTTCCAAGGAGAAATCCTTAGGAAGACCTCATCACCGACTTCGAACTCCAACGGTCTCCGCCGTTTATCAGCATAACTCTTCTGTCGGTCCTGAGCGGCCTTCAATCTATCCCGAATGATCCTCACCTTGGATTTGGTGATCTCAACTAGCTCTATCCCTTCGAGTTTGGCCTCGCCAACCTCGTCCCAACACAATGGTGTTCTGCATTTCCTCCCATACAATGCCTCATATGGAGGCATGCCGATACTTGCTTGATAACTGTTGTTATAAGCAAACTCCACTAGGGCCAAATGCTTGTCCCAACTTCCTTGAATTGGAACTCCAAAGCACATGCCCTAAGCATGTCTTCCAAAATCTGTATCACCCGCTCGGACTGTCCATCCGTCTGTGGGTGAAAAGCTGTGCTAAACTTCAGTTTAGTCCCCAAAGATGCTTGAAACTTTGGCCAAAATCGGGATGTGAATCGTGGATCCCTATCCGAGACAATGGATATTGGGACTCCATGTAATCTCACAATCTCCTCCGTGTATAGCTTGGCCAATCTTTCAAGAGGATAAGCAATGTTGATAGGCAGAAAGTGTGCACTCTTGGTGAGCCTATCAACCACTACCCATACTGCATCGTAGTTGTTCACTGTTCGTGGCAGCCCCACCACGAAGTCCATGGTCACATGTTCCCACTTCCACTCTGGGATGGTGAGTGGTTGTAAGAGCCCTGCTGGGTGCTGATGCTCTGCCTTAATTTGCTGGCAAGTAAGGCATCGACTCACAAACTCTGCGATATCCTTCTTCATGCCTGACCACCAGTAACTTTCCTTCAGATCTCGGTACATCTTAGTACCCCCTGGATGCATGGCATATGCTGAAGAATGAGCCTCCTCAAGTATAGCCCCCTGGAGCTCCTCATTCTTTGGTATGCACACACGATCCTTAAATAATAAAAGACCGTCATCACGTACCCGAAAATTTTCGACGGGCCCCTCAAGGATCCGTTCGCGGATCTTCTGACATTCCTCATCAATGGCCTGACATCTACTGATCTCACTCAGCAATGTAGGCCTCACCTCGAATCTAGCAATGAGCGCCCCGCTCGTGGATACCTCCACGTGTGCCCTCAATGCTTGTAGACATGTGAGTAGCGTCCCTGACGTACTCTTTCTGCTCAGTGCGTCGGCCACTACATTGGCCTTTCCGGGATGATAGTCGATGATCAAGTCATAGTCCTTGATCAACTCCATCCATCTCCTCTGCCTCATATTCAACTCTTTCTGAGTGAATACATACTTCAAGCTCTTATGATCAGTATAAATGTGACACGTCTCCCCGTAGAGATAATGTCTCCAAATCTTCAATGCAAACACCACCGCCCCCAACTCTAGATCGTGAGTAGGGTAGTTCACCTCGTGTTTCCCCAATTTCCTAGAAGCATAGGCAATCACCTTACCGTTTTGCATTAGTACACATCCAAGCCCTTGGATGCTAGCATCGCTGTAAATGTCGTACCCTATACCCTGTATGGGTAGGGCCAGGACTGGTGCTTCGGTAAGTCGTTTCTTCAATTCAAGGAACCCCTTCTCGCACTTATCGTCCCATATGAACTTGGCCCCTTTCTTTGTGAGCTTCGTCAATGGAGACGCCAATACGGAGAATTTCTCAACAAATTTACGATAGTATCCCGCTAGGCCAAGGAAACTACGTATCTCCTTCGCATTCCTGGGTCTCTCCCAATCCATGATCGCTTTTATCTTGGCGTTATCCACAGCAACACCCGAACCGGATATGACATGACCGAGGAAACCAATCTCTTTGAGCCAAAATTCGCATTTGGAGAACTTGGCGAAGAGTTGCTTTTCCCTTAGCCGATCAAGTACAAGCCTCAAATGGTGTTCGTGCTCTTCCTCGCTCTTGGAGTATATCAAGATGTCATCAATGAATACTATCACAAATTGATCTAAGTATTCACTAAACACACGGTTCATCAAGTCCATGAATGCTGCCGGTGCATTGGTTAACCCAAATGACATCACAAGAAACTCGTAGTGACCATATCTAGTGCGAAATGCACTCTTAGGTATGTCACTCTCCTTGATCTTCAACTGATGATACCCCGATCTCAAGTCAATCTTTGAGAATACTATGGCCCCTCGAAGTTGATCAAACAAGTCATCAATCCTAGGTAAAGGATACCTGTTCTTGATGGTGACCTTGTTCAACTGTCGGTAGTCGATACACATTCTTAGTGTACCATCTTTCTTCTTTACGAAGAGTACGGGTGCTCCCCACGGTGAATGACTGGGTCTGATGAACCCGTTGTCCAGTAATTCTTGTAGTTGGACCTTCAACTCTTGGAGTTCGGCCGGCGCCATTCGATAAGGAGGAATCGAAATGGGTTTGGTTCCCGGCTCCACTTCGATTACAAATTCAATCTCTCTATCGGGTGGAAGCCCCGGTAGGTCCTTGGGAAAGACGTCCGGGTACTTGCACACGACTCGAACATCCTTGATGTCGACTTCTTTCTTCGTATCATCCACCACATAAGCAAGGTATGCGTGGCATCCCTTCCTCATCATCTTTCGTGCTCTCATCACGGATATGATACAAGCATTAGATTTCCCCCGATCTCCTTCGAAACATAGCGTGTTTCCTTGATCATCCTCGAGCTCCAACACCTTGGTGTAGCAATCTACTCGAGCATGGTGTTTCTCGAGCCAATCCATTCCTAGGATTGCATCAAACTCCAACATGCTTAGAGGTACGAAATCCCAAGTCAAAGGTTGACCCGTCACTTCTACCTCACACGACGGATAGTAATGATTCCTCTCCACATCGTCTCCTAACGGTGTGGAGACTATCAACGCTTGCGTCATAGGTGTCAATGGCACGTCAAGTCCCTCGGCGAACGCCTCACTCACAAATGAGCGTTGTGCCCCGGTATCGATGAGGATCCTCGCACACCTACCATTGATCTTTAATGTTCCTACGTTTATACACCATGTGAGATACATTTTCTAATGTTTTTTCACATCTTTAGAAGGATATTAGGTTCATACTAATGTTTGGAATCGAACGGGGGTCCAAACGCAGAAGAACGGGGCGAAAAAATCAAGTTTCGGGTGCCAGGGGTCCACGCACGGCGTGCGTAGGGGGTACGCACGGTCGTGCGTACCTTGCCTTACCAATGGAGGCTACTGCCCCCAACGCACGGAGGGACGCACGGGCAACGCACGGCCGGGCGTGCAGCGATTTTCTCCGGGGTGCTACTGCCACCAATGCACGGAGGTACGCACGGCAACGCACGGCCGGGCGTGCAGCGATTTTCCTCCGGGGTGCTACTGCCACCAACGCACGGAGGTACGCACGGGAAACGCACGGCCGGGCGTGCAGCGATTTTCCTCCAGGGTGCTACTGCCACCAACGCACGGAGGTACGCACGGGCAACGCACGGCCGGGCGTGCAGCGATTTTCCTCCGGGATGCTACTGCCACCAACGCACGGAGGTACGCACGGGCAACGCACGGCCGGGCGTGCAGCGATTTTCCTCCAGGGTGCTACTGCCACCAACGCACGGAGGTACGCACGGGCAACGCACGGCCGTGCGTGCAGCCCAGCCTGTAGTGCGTTGGCAGAAATCAGCCCGATTTCGCCCGATTTCGCTCAATTTCGCTCCGTTTGATCCCGGGGTGGCCCGAACTCAACCCCCAACGGTGTATATGATCAAAATAAGCCTAGAAATACATGGGAATACGTGTATTACCTGCAACGGAGTCCGGGTTTGCTCGCGCATCCGCCTCGGTCATTGCGTAGACCCTTGCTTGGGCCCCGCCTTGATTGACGGACGTAGCGTTGCTCATCGTTGGTTCCGTATGGTTTCCTTTCACGGTGAGCCCTTCCTCGGCTTGCAATGTCTCTCGTTGCCTCCTCCATGGGCAACTTAATTTCATATGGGTTGTGCTCCCACATTTGTAGCACATCGGGGGCTCGTTGCACTTTCCAAAATGTTTCTTAGAGCAATTAGAACATTTGGATGGTCTTAAGGAGTAAGGAAAGGACGTGTGCCACTTTGAGTTCCTTTTCTTTTTCACCGGTGATGCCGGTGCCGTAAGAGTGCTTTCTCCTCCTTGGTCGTTTGCCCAAGGATGGGTTTGGCTGACAGTCATATCACGTTGGGAGGTGGCCCGATCTCGCCTCGCCTGACGCCTACGTTCGTTCCTCCTGGTGTTCATGTTACACATCGAGCCCACTTGATTAGCGTTTGCCGCTTGGCGGCCCTCACGGCCCCCATGGCCTATTCCTCTCCCCGTAAAGGCTCGTGACACAGCCCGGCTAGCCTCAAGGTAAGCTACCGACGCTTGTCCCTTAGGGTCATTTCTTGTTGCCATTCGCTTACCCTCCATTTCTGAAACGGAATTTGGACGAGTCTTTAGACTCCTATGAATGTCAATTGACAGAAAAACGTTATAGACACGTATCGACCCAAGTCACCACCATACCAATTGTTAAGGGTACCGTCTTAACAATAAGAGGCCTTGCAACTTAAGCACCAATAGTCCTATAAACGTCAAAATACAATGCTCATGGTTTTCGGTAAAAACTCTTTTGTAAAATCTTTTGTGAGAGGTTGATTATATAGTTTAGAACTGAGATGGCTCTGATACCACTTAATTGTCACGCCCCAGACCGCAATCCAAGCGCGTGTACAACCGCCGTATAATTAAGTGACGTCACCCGCGAGTCAACCCCTCTTAATTACACAAGGCGTTCGAGAAAACAATCCATCCATACTCAGTAGTAAACATACATAACAACATCACATTTAAACCAATGAATAGCGGAAATATTCAATGGTAATTCATAAGCCACAACCGGCCAACAACATGGGCATGCAAGCCCCAAAAATAGTTTATAGTAGAACAAATATCCATGAGCAAGTGTTCGGTAGTTTGAAAGAAAATAAGGAAGCACGAACCACGTCTTCCTGATTTGATATCACCCGTGAGAAGGTGCAAGTAGCAAGCCCTAGCTTCAACCTGAAAATGGTGGGGGCCCCCGAAGGGGTCAGTACAAGTACCGAGCGAGTAGCAGGCTAAATATAGAATAACTAGCGTTTCAAGTATAAGACCCAAACATAGGGTGATACTTATATAAATAGTCTTTCCCCCAAGTTATGAAATACTTAATAGTATATATATACTTGGAAAAATATCCGATCCGTAGATCACCAGTTTATTTGGGAAAAATAGTAATAGTCAATATTCTTGACTAAAAACCCCAACCCACCCATATGCCTATGAGTGTATAGAACTCCTCCTTGTTCAAGTAAATTATCATAAGGACACCGCCCGGTCCTAGATCATTATATGTAATCTATGAGTTTTGAGGATACACACCCGATCCTTGGGTACTCCACCCTATAACCGAGTTTTGAGGATAACCGCCCGATCCTTGGGTACTCCACCCTATATAACCGAGTTTTGAGGATAACCGCCCGATCCTTGGGTACTCCACCCTATATAACCGAGTTTTGAGGATAACCGCCCGATCCTTGGGTACTCCACCCTATATAACCGAGTTTTGAGGATAACCGCCCGATCCTTGGGTACTCCACCCTATATAACCGAGTTTTGAGGATAACCGCCCGATCCTTGGGTACTCCACCCTATATAACCGAGTTTTGAGGATAACCGCCCGATCCTTGGGTACTCCACCCTATATAACCGAGTTTTGAGGATAACCGCCCGATCCTTGGGTACTCCACCCTATATAACCGAGTTTTGAGGATAACCGCCCGATCCTTGGGTACTCCACCCGACCTATGACTTACCACATATCACACTAGATAGGGTCTATATCATATTTAGCCATTCATAACTAATTCAATACATAAAACTTATGTATCACATTCCATGCAAAGCCATGCAATTATGTAAATGTATAATTAATTAATATCAACCGATATTAATTAATCCATTAACCACCGGTCAACGTTGTCGTTGACCGCCATTTCAAACCTTGTACAAATCAACTTAATCGTCATATAATTAAGTTAAAATATTCATTTGTGCTTCTTATACACTTCAAGAAAATATGCATTTTATATAATTCTTCATATCATATTCTATGCATAAACAATCTATTTCTTTCATACAAATTTAACCCTATTGGCTAATCACATGTTTAAATATCTTTTAAACATCATTATGAATTCATATAACATTTATTTAGGTAATCTTATAATTAACCCAAAAGTTATAAGATATTAAGCCGTCCACTCACCTTGAACTAGCGTATGAAGTTCTACCCTTCTTGGTTGAACTCCGGTGAAACTCCGGTGACTTTTGGTCAACTCCGGCGACAACTCCGGCGACTTTTCCAACTTTGTGAAACCACTTGAAATACCCTTTACAAGTGCCTAACAAGGTTTTAAAATCATAAAACCCATATTAATACAAATAACCTCTAAAAGGTCATTTTCCGGTGAACCGGTCGTTTTGGCATCTAAGTCCGTTCTTGGACTTAGAACCATCTTCCAACCCATTAATCCATACTTATAACATGTAGAACCCTCTTAAGGATTCTTCACATGATATGTATCTCATGTGGTAGAAGAAAAAAATAAGGAAGAAGTTATAATAAGGTCATTACCTTAATTATTTCACACTTTTAGCACTTTAGCTCCTTTTTGGGTGATTCTTCCTTGATGAGCTTTCTTCAACAATGGAGGAAAGAAGAATGGAGAGTCTCCTCTCTCTTGTTGCTGTAGCTTGGCCGAAAATGAGGAGGGGAGAGGGATGAGGATGGACTTTGTCTCATTAATCCAATGAGTGCAAAAATGAGGGTCCACCTTAGGTACTTTGATGCCTTTCCAATCAATTCCCAATACCTCCCACCTTCCTACACTCATTCCAGCGGCCCAACCCTTGTCTTGAGTGTCTAATTTCGTGGGTTGGCCCCCACCTATGTGGGAGGTCACCCCTTTTTGCCCAGAAGTGTACAATCGGCCCCGAAAGTTGTATTTTTCGGACTGTTTTAAATATATTTTATTTTATCGGGTCAAATAAAATATATTATGTGCTCTTACTCATTATGACATGTATAATGAATATACATTCCCCAACATTAATTTATTAAGCCTCCGAAATTCAGTTCGGGCTGTTATCAGTTAAATCACCAGTACCGGTAATTTGGGCTTCTTTTGACTAATCGGTCAACTCTGGGCCTTTCCATGGTCCAAATGAAATATCCACCACTATATATTTATTATCTAGACCAAGATGAATAAAATATATGGTTTCGGGGATGTCGAGCGGCCCCCGCTCCCGGTGTGGGTCCCACGTGCAAATTTAATATTCACGCGAACGAAATAATAAAAATTTACAACTTCGTAAATTCGTAAATCCTTTAATAAGGTTCAATACATTATTTACATAAAAGTAAATATATTTGGGGACGGTGTTACACAGAATGCCAGACCGCCGCTGTTCATCAGCCGCCGGTGCTCACCGGCCGCCGCCACTTCTCGCCGGCTGCTGCTGCTCGTAGACCGCCGCCACGGTCTCAAAATTGGCCGCCGTTGCAGATCAGGCAACTGCGACCGCAGATCTGGTCGCCAGAGCAATAGATCTGGCGACCTCCAGCCATCGACTCCTGGCCCTGCAAATCCGGTCGCTGGCGCTGCAGATCCGGCCTCCGCCGGTGTAGGTCCGGCCGCCGCTGCTTCCGCCGCGGTTGCCAACATTTTTTTTAAGAATGCCAAAGTGAGTCGAAAATGCCATTTTAATGGCATTTTCAAAGGGAAGTACAATTTTTTTGAAGAATAAAAATGCCATTTTGATGGCATTTTGAGATAAAATTTGGCAATTTAAGCAACTAAAGAAGAATCCAGCCAAGCATCGGACCTGCCACAAAAACAAAAGGGGAAGAGAGAAAAACAGTAGAGGAGAAGGAGGAAGGAAGGGGAGAACAATGAGCTTCATTACTCTTGCAACAGATCTGGAACGAATTCGCTGCTCACTCCCTCTCTGTTCGCCTTTGTTGCTTGCTGCTAGCCGGTGGTCCCCGCAGTTGCTCGCAGCTTTCTGGAAGGTCGTTGTTGCCGGTTTTCAATCGGAGAAGATGACCGGAGAAGATGACCGGAGAAGAAAGCCCACCAACTTGCAATCTAAAAAATGAGTAGATTGAAGAAGAGATCTGCTTGCAGAGAACGAATAATTTAACAAATGAAGGAAAAACTGATCTGCCAAGAAGAAGTGGTGCGTGAGATGTGGAAAAAAGAGGCTCTTGTGCGCGTGTGTGGAAGTGGTGCGAGCATAAGGGGTAAAAGTGGAATAGTAATCCTATTTGGGAATAAAAATATATCTACTCCTATTTAGGAATTTACACAATAATTTAGTCTCATTTAAGGCAAAAAAACCTTATCTAAGCAACTGCCCCTTCAATTGAAAGTATTGTTTTTTTAAAAATACTCAAATGAAATTATAAAATTTATAACTTTCACAGGAACATATTATTGTTGGCCGAAATTTAACATCATTGACTTGAAAATTTAAATTTTAAGGAATGAGTGTAGTACATCTATCTTTTCAACCAGAAAACTATTAAATTAAGTAGGAATTAGAAATACTATACACAAATATAATTAAATATTACTTCGTACTTCAATTTATCCACATGTAATCTTTTTAACAAACTTGAATTGAGTGTTCAGGTAAACACTTTAGAACAAGAGTAAATCCACCATTGTCGTTTGGTTGATATTCTTGCCTATGAATATATGATGTGTTGATTTTAACCAACTATGGGAGTAAATAAGCGTTTGAAGTGACCTTACGCTCAATTGAGTCCTATAATTGTTGAGAATATTGTCGGAGTCACTAACTTCAGGTTCTACAGCAACATTCAATGCGGGCATGGTTAGCGCTTGTTTCATCATTATCAATAATGCCGGGATCACCGTATCTTTATCTTTCCACCATTATAGTACATCAAACTCCACATCACTTTCATACTCACATAAATGTTAGATACAAAGAGAATTCATTAATCGAGCTTTGCGCAATTTTTAAATAGTTCTCTTCCCTTAAATGAAGAAGGCGTTTATTATAATATCTCATCACTTGAGCTCACTCGCCAAGATTCCACTTTATTTATTTCTAATTTAAAATTTTAACCCCTTAATCTTTTCATTGTGGTTTGTGGATTTGTGGATTTGTGGCTTCCTCCATCTTTGTCAACTCTCATGTACTCATGTTGCAGACTTACAGTTGTATTTGATTCTTCACATTTGTAATTGACTTACAGTTGGATTTTCTGAGTGCCTGCGATTTATGTTGTACATCTAACAAAATTATAATTGTGAATGAAGGTTGATACTCTTAACTTGTGTCAACACACTCTATGTATTAAAAGTTGTAAATCAAACCCTGCTTTTAATAAGACATCTATGTCCTTACTTTTCTTCCTACTAACGTTTATATTGTTAATACTCCGTCAAGTCGACCTTTGAAAACTAACAATGCGTAGCCTCTTCCCTGTTTATCTAAGGTTTTTGATCCACAAGGATGTCAACTTGGGTACAATAAAAGCCTAGAGTACTACGTTATTTTGCTAAAAGCCTATTTCAAGCAATTTAATATCACATATAATGAAAGTGTAGTACTAAGTATATATCTTATTTTATCCGTCTTGCTAACATTGTCTTATCTTTCATTTTTTCAGACCATTCCATTAAGATTGTTTCATACCAAATTTGGTAAAGTTTGTGTGGTTGTAAATCATTACTCCCCCCGTCCCAATTTGTAAGATACATTACGTTTTACGATATTTGACTGGCGATAAATCAAATTGATCCCTGTCAATACTCAAATTAGTTCTAGAAAATAAAATTTACATATACAAAAACTACATTAAAACCGCTACAAAACCTGCAAAGAGTGACTTATGTTGACCAAGTGAATAGTAAATGTATCTTAAATGACAATTTGGGACTGAGGGAGTATATTCTTACTTTATTCTTACTTTATCAATTTGATACAAATCATATAAACCATTTTTTTTAATTATAGTATCACCTCCTCTTCTCTCAAAGTTAGGATGTTTTTACTTGGACTGTAATTTGCTGGTCTGGTCTGGTCTGATCTGGTCTGGTCTGGTCTGGTCTGAATTGGTCTGGTCTGGTTGATTTCTTTGTATTTTTATAACTATCTAAGTCTGGTCTGGTCTGCACTGGTCTGGTCTAGTCTGGTCTGGTACTCTGGTCTGGGACAAATTACAGTCCAAGTAAAAACATCCTTAGTGGGGTAGAGGCAGTACTATTTTACTTAATAGTTGCAACAATTTGACTCTCACATTTGTCAACTTATTACAAAGTAATTTGATTATATATTTTAGTACAAATTCGTGATCAAAGTAAGGTGTTTGAATATTGCAAAAATCATAATATTGCAACTATTAAAGAATGGAGTTAGGGAGTTGATGGAGTATATGGCCCAAGAACCCCCGGCCCATAGACTCCTACTTCTCCTACACAAGTCCATTGAGCCCAGGGGACATCTCAGGCCCAAATACAACGGCCCAAGCTTCAAAGTAGCCCAGAATACACACTGGGGTGCCTTCGGCCTCCTTGGCCGAAGGCTCCAAAACTCACAGAATAGCCTTCTCTGGCGCAAGAAGCTACTGGGAGAAAACGGGCAAGAACATTAGCCTTCGGCACTATTGAGCCCTCAGCACCAGGGGAAGCCCTCGGCTGAACCAAGCCTTCGGCTACACGAGGAGCCTTCGGCCATACAAGGAGCCCTCGGCTACACGAGGAGCCTTCGGCTGGACTAGCTCAATCATCGAAGATTCCTTTTGGAGACAGCCAACAACCGCATTTAATGCCACGTCGCATCCGCCAACCGCATTCAATGCGGTGAACGTACCACTGCCGGTGCCAACCGGCTGATGTGACCCTTCGGCCGTTGGATTACTGACACGTGTCCCCTCATCGCATTTATTGCTGCTATAAATAGCAGCCCATTTCTCCTTGTAAAACATGATCTACATCTCGACTCCACACGCTGAGTTCATTTAATAAAATCGACTCTCTCTCCTCCTATTTGCTCTGACTTCTCTCTAGTTATTTCCGCAATAACCCTTCGGATAAGATACCCCCCGGGTAGACTATCCATCATTTAAGCAGGAGGCAGCTCTCAAGCAAAGGCGCCCAACCAAATGATGAAGCCTCCGGAAGAATCAGTGCATCTACTCCTTTTCCCTCAAGTACCTTTCGGCAAAAGGAGTGAGGGACTCCTGATGGAGTATATGGCCCAAGAACCCCCGGCCCATAGACTCCTACTTCTCCTACACAAGTCCATTGAGCCCAGGGGACATCTCAGGCCCAAATACAACGGCCCAAGCTTCAAAGTAGCCCAGAATACACACTGGGGTGCCTTCGGCCTCCTTGGCCGAAGGCTCCAAAACTCACAGAATAGCCTTCTCTGGCGCAAGAAGCTACTGGGAGAAAACGGGCAAGAACATTAGCCTTCGGCACTATTGAGCCCTCGGCACCAGGGGAAGCCCTCGGCTGAACCAAGCCTTCGGCTACACGAGGAGCCTTCGGCCATACAAGGAGCCCTCGGCTACACGAGGAGCCTTCGGCTGGACTAGCTCAATCATCGAAGATTCCTTTTGGAGACAGCCAACAACCGCATTTAATGCCACGTCGCATCCGCCAACCGCATTCAATGCGGTGAACGTACCACTGCCGGTGCCAACCGGCTGATGTGACCCTTCGGCCGTTGGATTACTGACACGTGTCCCCTCATCGCATTTATTGCTGCTATAAATAGCAGCCCATTTCTCCTTGTAAAACATGATCTACATCTCGACTCCACACGCTGAGTTCATTTAATAAAATCGACTCTCTCTCCT